GAACGATTTATCCACATGGAGTTGGCAATAAGTCTGAAAACATTTTGCTTAGCAGTTCCTTGCTTTCATTCTATATAACTTTAGCAAATTAGCTTCAATTGCAGCTGGTTTTTAATGTGGAACTTTGTGCCATTTAAAAATGCCTTTCGGGAACGAATTCAATTACGCATACATACTAACATACTGACAAAGATTTTAATTAATGCACAACTTTGTTATTTAGAGACCAGTAGAAACCCAGCATAACAAAATTGCTGAGCAACAGATTTTTTAGTACTTAAATGATAACATTTTTTTGTTGGCGCAGCAAATAAAAAGAAGTTTGTGTGGCGACAACAAATTTGTTTGTGCAAATAATTATCATTATTTTTACAAGTTTATTTCAAAGTCAGAGGTAGGCGGTTCGTAAGTTGCTGTTACATATGAAAGTACGTATAACAGTATAACATTTTGTTAATTAAAAAAAAATAATAATAAAAAAATATTTCAAGGGTCGGCGTAGGGCGGGACTGTTTTGTGTGGTAAATTATTCAAACGCATGCAAAGCTATAAATACAAAAATTATAAAAACTCCTCGGTTGAATAGGCAAAACAAAAAAAAAAAATGATATGAACTAAAGCGCTGCCACCTTCGAAAATTAAGGTCCATAAAGCGCCCGAATTTTTAATAGGGTCTTTCATTAACAGGAAAATATTAATCAACATATTTTTTACTTTCTATTTAAACTAATTTTATATCAAAAGTAAAAACACGTAATTGTGTTTAGCACAAAATGGTTAATGAAATACTTTATACATTAATTACTTTAGTTTAAATATTAAAATTTATCACAAGTTTTACGCTTTTTTATTTATTTTTTTTTTGCGTTTTGTTGGTTTTTTTTTTATTTGCTTCAACTCAGTGTTTAGCCAGAGTACATGATATTAAACTACATTTATAGAAAAAACTTCATCTTTCTTCAATTCTTATTTAGTTCTGCCTCAGTTCATTATTTACCTTTGATTAATGCTTACTTAACACTATTTGTGCTCAACAACTTTAAATTCAATTAAAATTTTTTTTACAAATTTTTTTTTTCATAAAAGCGCGAAAGTGACTAACTGTGGTTATTCTAATGCAGAAAACAGAATAGCGGTTGCATGAACAACGAATCAGCAACATAATTTTATATTTGACCGCACTTAGGGCCAATTTCAAAGTGCGTAGTTAACTCAGAATCGGCAGTTAACTAGAGATTTTCAGTACAAAAATCTGTAATTAACTGCTGATTCTGAGTTAACTACGCACTGTGAAATTGGCTCTTAGCCCAACCAAGCTAGGATTTATGAACTCTCTTGAAATATGTGCGTATAGCAAAAATATCTAATATTTTCCTATATTTACAACAAAAAAAAAACCAACACCACTATCTATTTATATTAGTGGAATTCGCGCTTCTCTGTATTCGCTATATCCTGAGTAAGTGTAACTGAACGAGCGTGTGGTTGTTGTTGCATGTGTATTTGGTGTACCGCTAGCAACAACAAATCACACGTTCATGCAGTTACAATCACACAACATATTTACAACGAATACAGAGAAGAGCGAATTCCCCTATTATGTAACTGTGTGTATAGCGTGTTTTCATCATGAATTACCACGCCCCAATAATTACCATGGCGTGCATGAAGGTATGTAAACAAAAACTAATAAAAAAAGAAGCAAAAACAAATACGAAACCCGCTGGCAAGCAAGAGTAGAAAGTGCAACATAAATGTTACATTACTGTAATATCCATGAAATCAATAAAAGTAAAAATTTGTAGAAATCGATGCTGTCGCTGCTGGCGGCACAGCGCCCACATCATGCAACCATTCAAAGTCCTTGGCATCCGCTTGCTGCGGCGGTACATAGTCAAACGCGTAGCAATGAGCGCATTGGCATTGCTGTTGCGATGTCGCTGCCGCAGCCGCTGCTGTTGTTGTGGCCGCTGAATGCTGATAAAAGAGTTCCAGCTCGGCGGCATGCGATTGAGGTGTATATTGTTGTAGCCTATGCTTTTGTTGTTCCTGCTGCAATATTGTCGGCTGTTTTAAATGCTTTACTGGCTTTTGCTGTTGCTGTGTTTGTTTTGGTTGCTGTTGTTGCTGTTGCTGTTGCTGAGTGTAAAGATGATAGCGGTAGTGACGTTGATAGTGATGGTGCTGTTGTTGCTGCTGCTGCTGCTGTTGTTGCATTTTAAACCAACTCGCATAGTGCTGCAACAACAATTTTCAATCTTTCTGATGCGTTTGATGATGATGCGCATGCGCATGCGTCGAGTGTTGTCGTTGCTGCTGCTGTTGCTGTTGCTGTTGCGACTGTTGCGCTTGCTGCGTATGCATGTGTGCCAACTGTTGTTGTTGCGACTGCGCTTGATGATGATGATGATGATGCAGCGATTGCGACTGCTGTTGTTGTTGTAAATGCGTCGCAGAGCTTAGCATTGAATGCTGGTGCTGTTGCTGCGGTGGCATGCCATTGTGATTCAAGAGCCCGCTCACGCCACTACTGCTACTGCTGCTGCTGCTGCTACTTGTGCTGCTGCTATTGCTGGCATTGCCACCGCTATTTGTGGCGTCAGACTTGCGCAGCAAGTATATGGAGCCGTCGGCAGCCTGCTGCAGTGTGTATTCGGACGTCGAGCAGGGATTGCCTTCGGGATCGCGCAAGTACTGAAATAAGGAAATGCAAATTTTGGTAATTGAAAAAAAAAAGAATTAATTTAATTAAAGCAATTTTCGTTAAAGAATCAACATTCATGTATTTCAGTTTTCGAAAATCACCCAAAAATAGTCAGGTCAATGCCTAAAGGCGACAACCACTTCTTCGACATCTCTTCCTCAGCTAAACTTTCACTCTTTTTTGCAATCATACTCACTTGGAATATGTGCCTATGAAGCGCTGCGAACTTATTCGATATGCGCTTGCGCTCCAAAGCCAGACTGTCACGATCCGAATACAGCTGCTCCTTGCGCCTGCGCACCTCCTTCACTTCATCCTCCAGCGATAGAATTTGATCGAGTTTGCGCTTGCGGCAATTCTGTGCAGCAACCTTATTTTTGCCACGACGCCGGATGTCGCGTATTAGTGAAAGTTGATTTTCAGTTAAGTCATACTTAGAGAGCCGTTCATTGAATTCGTCCATTGGCAGGTTTATGATGTCGCTCACCGCTATGGGTATATTCATAGCGCGTGCACGCTTTTCGTCGCGTGTCAAATGTTCGTCCTCCGCATTAAGCGACTTGGAGGACTTAGACGATGACGTTGATAGCTTCTTGTCGCGCGCTTGTGGACGAGGCAGAGAGCCGGTGCCCTGCGGCAGGGTGTAAGTGTGATTATGCTGCACTACTTCGTGCGGTGTGCGCGGTGGCCGCTGTGCGAAATCGAGCGTGTAGTCACCAATTGCGTCAGCAGCAACTGGACCATATTTCAATTCGTAAGCTTGTTGCTCTTTGCTGCTAAGCGACGGCCCTAAAGCGCCGTCGGCTCGCAGTGCGCCTTCGATGGTGCCGCCTGGCTGGAGTACCGGCACTGTTGGATACGGTTCGTACTCATACTTTATAGAAGGTGCAGGACCAACATTTAATAGAGAATTTGCGCTTGAGGGTGGCGCCACACCGGCGTTGTTATTGTTGCCAGCGGTTGCACCCGCAGCACCCAACAAACCAGGCTGTTCGTTAAGAAAGCGTTTGCCGAACATTTGATGTTTCTTCTGGGCAACGGGCGGTTGACGCGAGCCATCGTTTAGACGGTTATTATTATTGTAGCTATAGTCGTACGGCCCACCGTATTTGCCTTGGTGATAGTCCTGTGCCGAGTCGCTGCCCTCGCCCCACTCACCATCCGAAAGTGATGGCACACGTTCCGAACCCATTGAACTCACAGCACTGTCACTGGACGCGTCCAAACGATCACCACCGGCAGTCGTGCCAGCACCCGAATTCAAAAGATCTGTAGTCATACCGCCAGAGAGAGCAGTGTTTGCAGCGCCAGCAGCACTCATTGCTAGACCGTTTGATGTGGAACCTGTGGCACTACTGCCACCTGCGCTTGCATGCCCGCTTGTCAGCCCACTGCCGAGCACTGAAGAATTGTTACTAGTACTGTTGTTCACGTCGACCATGCGACAGAAACCTGAAAGTAGATAAAGAGGGAGAGAGAGAGAGAGAGATTAGAAATAATAATAATTTGATGGTACTTAAGCTTACAGGAACTAAATAGGACAATTTAGAAGAAAGTGCAAACTTATTTCTATAGGTCCAGAGCTACATATTGTATTAAGAGACAATTTAATTACTTATGTTTAACCCTTTCTGAGCCGCATTACTCTAAAATATAAGCGTTTGTATCCTTCCCTTAGAAATAACGGAATTACATGCCAGGACGAGACTGTGACAGATTTATGTAGTATTTAATGTTCTCCACTTTCTCGCCTCTGTAGCTGAGGTTGGGCATCCCCTCCTCTTATCAAGCGTGCTCATAAGGCAGTGCCAGGTTAACTATTATTCCGACTATTAATCTGAGAGAGGAGCGGTCAAGTCGAGTGAGAGCTTTATGTTGCGCTTCACCAGATTCATCAATTTTAATAATTTGATGGACAGAATTGTCTGTTAGTCTGACAGGTGGGTTCCATGGCCCAACTGGTATCTATTTACGTCCTCGATCCGTTCAGTCTTTAATATGTTTTTGCAGGAGTTTACAACCCACGTCTTAAGCATATTTTCCACGATTTCGTTGCTAAATAGTCGGCCATGCAGTTGCATACAACAGCCAAGGAGCATTTAGACGCCAGTTGATTGAGAATCCATCTGCATTCTATGGCTACTTTGAAAGTTGTTTCGTTGTATTTGAGAGTTTTTTTTCGATATTTCTAAGCTTTCCATGCATGGCGCCCCCTGACAAAACACTGGCTGAATCGTATTAATATGATTGTTATTTTAATGCCGTACACAACTCTATTAAAAAATACTTTCCATTTAGTTTTTGTTTGTGCAATTTGTTTAAAAATTTTAGTATCAGTGCACAGATTATTTTTCATGCTCAAAACTGAACTCGTTCATATTATTGCATGTGACAGAGGAAGCTCTAACAAAAGCGTTTATACTAGGAAAGTTCAAATCAAATTTGCAACGAATTCTCATCTCTACTAGGTAGATAACCGGCCTTATCGCGAATTCCATGTGAACAAATTTTCTAAAAACTTATAATTTACAAATTTGTTTTTGTTTTGCCTGTTAAATTATGAGAACGATTTATCCACATGGAGTTGGCAATAAGTCTGAAAACATTTTGCTTAGCAGTTCCTTGCTTTCATTCTATATAACTTTAGCAAATTAGCTTCAATTGCAGCTGGTTTTTAATGTGGAACTTTGTGCCATTTAAAAATGCCTTTCGGGAACGAATTCAATTACGCATACATACTAACATACTGACAAAGATTTTAATTAATGCACAACTTTGTTATTTAGAGACCAGTAGAAACCCAGCATAACAAAATTGCTGAGCAACAGATTTTTTAGTACTTAAATGATAAAAATTTTTTGTTGGTGCAGCAAATGAAAAGAAGTTTGTGTGGCGACAACAAATTTGTTTGTGCAAATAATTATCATTATTTTTACAAGTTTATTTCAAAGTCAGAGGTAGGCGGTTCGTAAGTTGCTGTTACATATGAAAGTACGTATAACAGTATAACATTTTGTTAATTAAAAAAAAATAATAATAAAAAAATATTTCAAGGGTCGGCGTAGGGCGGGACTGTTTTGTGTGGTAAATTATTCAAACGCATGCAAAGCTATAAATACAAAAATTATAAAAACTCCTCGGTTGAATAGGCAAAACAAAAAAAAATGATATGAACTAAAGCGCTGCCACCTTCGAAAATTAAGGTCCATAAAGCGCCCGAATTTTTAATAGGGTCTTTCATTAACAGGAAAATATTAATCAACATATTTTTTACTTTCTATTTAAACTAATTTTATATCAAAAGTAAAAACACGTAATTGTGTTTAGCACAAAATGGTTAATGAAATACTTTATACATTAATTACTTTAGTTTAAATATTAAAATTTATCACAAGTTTTACGCTTTTTTATTTATTTTTTTTTTGCGTTTTGTTGGTTTTTTTTTTATTTGCTTCAACTCAGTGTTTAGCCAGAGTACATGATATTAAACTACATTTATAGAAAAAACTTCATCTTTCTTCAATTCTTATTTAGTTCTGCCTCAGTTCATTATTTAGCTTTGATTAATGCTTACTTAACACTATTTGTGCTCAACAACTTTAAATTCAATTAAAATTTTTTTTACAAATTTTTTTTTTCATAAAAGCGCGAAAGTGACTAACTGTGGTTATTCTANGCTTTGATTAATGCTTACTTAACACTATTTGTGCTCAACAACTTTAAATTCAATTAAAATTTTTTTTTTCATAAAAGCGCGAAAGTGACTAACTGTGGTTATTCTAATGCAGAAAACAGAATAGCGGTTGCATGAACAACGAATCAGCAACATAATTTTATATTTGACCGCACTTAGGGCCAATTTCAAAGTGCGTAGTTAACTCAGAATCGGCAGTTAACTAGAGATTTTCAGTACAAAAATCTGTAATTAACTGCTGATTCTGAGTTAACTACGCACTGTGAAATTGGCTCTTAGCCCAATCAAGCTAGGATTTATGAACTCTCTTGAAATATGTGCGTATAGCAAAAATATCTAATATTTTCCTATATTTACAACAAAAAAAAAACCAACACCACTATCTATTTATATTAGTGGAATTCGCGCTTCTCTGTATTCGCTATATCCTGAGTAAGTGTAACTGAACGAGCGTGTGGTTGTTGTTGCATGTGTATTTGGTGTACCGCTAGCAACAACAAATCACACGTTCATGCAGTTACAATCACACAACATATTTACAACGAATACAGAGAAGAGCGAATTCCCCTATTATGTAACTGTGTGTATAGCGTGTTTTCATCATGAATTACCACGCCCCAATAATTACCATGGCGTGCATGAAGGTATGTAAACAAAAACTAATAAAAAAAGAAGCAAAAACAAATACGAAACCCGCTGGCAAGCAAGAGTAGAAAGTGCAACATAAATGTTACATTACTGTAATATCCATGAAATCAATAAAAGTAAAAATTTGTAGAAATCGATGCTGTCGCTGCTGGCGGCACAGCGCCCACATCATGCAACCATTCAAAGTCCTTGGCATCCGCTTGCTGCGGCGGTACATAGTCAAACGCGTAGCAATGAGCGCATTGGCATTGCTGTTGCGATGTCGCTGCCGCAGCCGCTGCTGTTGTTGTGGCCGCTGAATGCTGATAAAAGAGTTCCAGCTCGGCGGCATGCGATTGAGGTGTATATTGTTGTAGCCTATGCTTTTGTTGTTCCTGCTGCAATATTGTCGGCTGTTTTAAATGCTTTACTGGCTTTTGCTGTTGCTGTGTTTGTTTTGGTTGCTGTTGTTGCTGTTGCTGTTGCTGAGTGTAAAGATGATAGCGGTAGTGACGTTGATAGTGATGGTGCTGTTGTTGCTGCTGCTGCTGCTGTTGTTGCATTTTAAACCAACTCGCATAGTGCTGCAACAACAATTTTCAATCTTTCTGATGCGTTTGATGATGATGCGCATGCGCATGCGTCGAGTGTTGTCGTTGCTGCTGCTGTTGCTGTTGCTGTTGCGACTGTTGCGCTTGCTGCGTATGCATGTGTGCCAACTGTTGTTGTTGCGACTGCGCTTGATGATGATGATGATGATGCAGCGATTGCGACTGCTGTTGTTGTTGTAAATGCGTCGCAGAGCTTAGCATTGAATGCTGGTGCTGTTGCTGCGGTGGCATGCCATTGTGATTCAAGAGCCCGCTCACGCCACTACTGCTACTGCTGCTGCTGCTGCTACTTGTGCTGCTGCTATTGCTGGCATTGCCACCGCTATTTGTGGCGTCAGACTTGCGCAGCAAGTATATGGAGCCGTCGGCAGCCTGCTGCAGTGTGTATTCGGACGTCGAGCAGGGATTGCCTTCGGGATCGCGCAAGTACTGAAATAAGGAAATGCAAATTTTGGTAATTGAAAAAAAAAAGAATTAATTTAATTAAAGCAATTTTCGTTAAAGAATCAACATTCATGTATTTCAGTTTTCGAAAATCACCCAAAAATAGTCAGGTCAATGCCTAAAGGCGACAACCACTTCTTCGACATCTCTTCCTCAGCTAAACTTTCACTCTTTTTTGCAATCATACTCACTTGGAATATGTGCCTATGAAGCGCTGCGAACTTATTCGATATGCGCTTGCGCTCCAAAGCCAGACTGTCACGATCCGAATACAGCTGCTCCTTGCGCCTGCGCACCTCCTTCACTTCATCCTCCAGCGATAGAATTTGATCGAGTTTGCGCTTGCGGCAATTCTGTGCAGCAACCTTATTTTTGCCACGACGCCGGATGTCGCGTATTAGTGAAAGTTGATTTTCAGTTAAGTCATACTTAGAGAGCCGTTCATTGAATTCGTCCATTGGCAGGTTTATGATGTCGCTCACCGCTATGGGTATATTCATAGCGCGTGCACGCTTTTCGTCGCGTGTCAAATGTTCGTCCTCCGCATTAAGCGACTTGGAGGACTTAGACGATGACGTTGATAGCTTCTTGTCGCGCGCTTGTGGACGAGGCAGAGAGCCGGTGCCCTGCGGCAGGGTGTAAGTGTGATTATGCTGCACTACTTCGTGCGGTGTGCGCGGTGGCCGCTGTGCGAAATCGAGCGTGTAGTCACCAATTGCGTCAGCAGCAACTGGACCATATTTCAATTCGTAAGCTTGTTGCTCTTTGCTGCTAAGCGACGGCCCTAAAGCGCCGTCGGCTCGCAGTGCGCCTTCGATGGTGCCGCCTGGCTGGAGTACCGGCACTGTTGGATACGGTTCGTACTCATACTTTATAGAAGGTGCAGGACCAACATTTAATAGAGAATTTGCGCTTGAGGGTGGCGCCACACCGGCGTTGTTATTGTTGCCAGCGGTTGCACCCGCAGCACCCAACAAACCAGGCTGTTCGTTAAGAAAGCGTTTGCCGAACATTTGATGTTTCTTCTGGGCAACGGGCGGTTGACGCGAGCCATCGTTTAGACGGTTATTATTATT